AATTTTAAAAAAAAATATCACATCATTGATGCACATTCATTCATCGACCAATTATGTTTATCTATAAAAAAAAAATATAATTCTAAATGTACTCAATTTATTAGTTAAATGAGATCGTTAAATATATGAATATGATATGTGATCTAAGGTATAGCATACAATTGCATAGTCGAGAAGTTATATACTCCTAACAGATATATAGGTAAAGTGTTCTTAAATTATGCATAGTAACACGACCTATTTACATATGAGTCTTATAGAATTAAAAATAGTGATAATCTCGTCACATATGAGTGGGAGATGTTGAATTTAATCGGTAGGTCACCTATGATGGGAGTCAGTTTGGATTAATAATAATCAATTATCAATTGTTTTTTGATTATATCTTTGAATATTTTCAAAAATAAAAAGAAATTTATTATTTAGGAATATTTGAAGAATTATTTATCTACAAATAGGAAGATTTATAAATTGTTACCTAAGAAGATATTTCTTGATTTTAAAATCTAAGTTTGTGATTAACTTGCAATTGCTTCTATTTTTATAATTTCTTACTAGTAGATTTAAATTAGAGTTTGGGGGCAATGTTTCCCTCTACACTAGAGGGTTTTCCATACGAAAATCTTGTGTTCTTCGTTGTTAAATTTTTCTGTTATTATCCAATGTGTAATAAGTCATATCAAAGCATCATTGGGTAGGATACGAAATTAATTACATAAAATTAACATGGTTATACTCTGGCAAGATCAAGTACAAATTGTTCACTTTGAAAACCGATAATAGAGGAATCATCTATACTGAAAGGGATTTATTTAATCCTAATAAATTAGAAAGTTTTAAACTCAATTGGGAAATTTGGATGATGATTAGGAAAAGCTGCATAAAAAAGAATAAAGTTAGCATTGAAGTTGACGCTCGGGTATTATGAAGAAAACTAAAAAAAAAAATACATAAGAGATGAAAAATGCCAAAAATAAAGCCTTTAGGATCAAAAGGATGGTAATGTTGATGTTTAATGAATGGTGATTTATAATAGAATGTCAGAAGTGGCTTTGAGGATTTGATGAATTAGTTAAGCACCATGAAGATATACCTTGATGAGGAATTGCAAAGTTTTACTTTTATTGAGTTCTTTACCATACATACATACAGTTGGGAAACACTAGCAGTGTCTTTTAGCAACTCTGCTCCTAATGAAGTTGCCACTTTACGGATAGTAAAATATATAGCTCACAAAGTGAAGAGATCAGATGCCCAAGATGCTGGTGTAGTTTTTTCATAGACTCTTCTTGTAAGAGAGAACAAGGGTTAAAGAGTAAGACTAGAGGTCACAAGGCGCATCATAAAATGCAGAGAAAAATTTTAGCCAAGAAGAGAAAAGTTCAAATATTATTATTGTTGTAAAGAATGTCATATATTAAGAGAACTACAACTTATATAATAGAGAAGTTAAGGATGAGAAGACTGAAAGGAAGGAAGATAATGTGCAAAAACCGGTATTGCTTATCTGTAAAGATGATTAGGATGATGTTGCCATAAATTATCTTATCTTATCTTGACTTGAACATTAATTCAGGGACATGTTATCATACTATATATACCCAAGAGCTACATTCTTCCTGAGTACAACTTAAGAAAATTTTGCATATTGAAGATGAACAATACCAGTGATGCAAATGAGAATTGATATAATTCTTGTACAGTGATAAGCCTAGAATTGAGAAGCCCAGAATGACCAATAGAAGGCTCATTCGAAACCCGAAGTTTATGCACTAAACAACAAGAGAGAAGCAAAAACAAAACATTGCAAAACAATTGGTCAAGCACCACTGAACGACCACCGCCAGAATCCATCAACTATCCTTAGTTTTATCTTCCATTATTTTGTAATTGCTAGTTTTCAGCTTTTCTATTCTTATCTTAATGCTTAGAAGTAGGAAAGTTGGTTATTTTCATATTGTATTTAATGCACTATGCTCTTGAATGAAATCAGTGAATTTTGATAAGCAAATCTACTGGTTTATTCTCACCACAAGCAGAATATATCTCTTACCTCTCTGATTGGGACCTATCTGTAGTATCAAAGTAGGATGGCTTCAAATAAAGAGCGAATTGAAAGCATCGAACAAGGATTAGGCGCGTTCCAAGATACCGTCAGTCAACTGGAGATGGGAATGGCTGACAAGCTCTGCCTCATCGAGGAAAATCTGCAGCGCCTCACCGACACCGTGTTGTCCAGCCGCGAAGGATCTTTCAGCAATTTAATGGGTCAGCTTGGACCACCCAGAACCACCAAGGATGACGGTCCACAGCAAATAGACACAACCCGATAGAATTTCTATTCGAGGCTCGCCAAACTTGAATTCCCCACCTTCACCGGTGATGATTTGACGCAATGGCTTAACAAAGTCGAACAATTTTTTGAGTTTTAAAGACCCACCAATAACAGCAAGGTTGCTTCGGCCGCATTCCACATTGAAGGAGAAGCAAATTCTTGGTGGTAGTGGCTCCGCAAGACGAATCAAGAAGAAGGCAAGGAAATTACTTGGACCAGGTTCACTGCGGAGCTGTGGGCTCGATTTGGGCCGCCCGAATGTGAGGATTTTTATGAGGTCCTTGCCAGAATTCAGTAAGTGGGCTTGCTCAGGGAATACAAAAAAAAAGTTTGAAAAGCTTGGCAATGGGGTCTAAGGCGAGCTCAAGCTCGAGATTGCGGATGGATCCGATCGTTCAAGCCCAGAATATTGAGAAAGGCCATCAGTGGCCCAGATACGTGAAGACCAACTGGGTCGTCAGCATAGATCCATCAAGGTCGGGTGCAACGCGCCTCCAAACCCGACTCCCGGGGTGCCTCAAACCCTAGTCCTCGATGCTGGACAAACTACGCGGCCTGGGAAGAATTGCAGCACCGCCGCTTGTAGGGGCTCTGCTTTCATTACGATGAGAAGTTCACCACAGGTCAATGTTGTCGCTGGCCACAGCTACTGGTAATGGAAGGAACCGAATAGGAAGACAAACCTGAACCGATGAAAAATCCTGAAATCTCTCTCCATACGCTCGTGGGGTGTTTGATCGCCCGGACGATGTGATTATCGGCCACTTTCCACAAGCATAAAATGGCAGCCTTCATTGGCAGCGGCTCAACCCATAATTTTATCAGTGAAAGAGTCACCGACAGCCTGCAACTTCTGGTCGTTCCAACCGAGTTCAAGGTGAAAGTAGCGAATGGCTAGCCTCTTCAATGCGGAGGGATTTTTATCAGCGTGCCCGTTGTCATCCATGGTATCACCTTCTCATCACTCTGTATGTTTTGTCTTTAACCGGGTTAGATTTGGTGTTAGGGATTCAATGGCTAAAATGCTTGGCGCTGTAACCTGTGACTAAAGAAGAATGACTAGGGAATTTCTCTGGAATGGCAGAATGCATAAGCTATAGGGCGCTGGTGAGAAATCAATCCAAGCGACTTCCATGAGGTTAGTCACCAAAACTCTTTGCCAAAAAAAATATAGATGTGGCAGAATGTATGCAGGCATAAGCTCTACCTAAGGTGGCTACAAATCATAATGGGATGGCAGAATTATTGGTAGAATACAGTGATATTTTTCAAGAAGCAACCAGGCTCCCACCGGGTTAGAGAAATTTCCTACCAAATCATTCTGAAAGAGGGTGTTGATTCGGTCAATGTGAAACCTTACAGGTATGCACATTTTTAGAAAACTGAGATTAAAGAAACAGGTTCAAAAGATGTTGAAGATGGACATTATCAAGCCAAGTGTTAGTCCTTTCTCATTCCTGATGCTGCTAGTCAAGAAAAAAGACAGGACTTGGCGTTTTTTTACTAACTACAAGGCCTTGAATGCGATCACTATTAAAGATCACTTCCCAATCCCCACCGTCGATGACATGTTTGACGAATTACATTGGGCTGTCTTTTTCACTGAGTTGGACTTGACTTCCAGCTATCACCAAGTAAGGTCACACCCTCCGAACACTTATAAGATAACATTTAGGACCCATAATGGCCACTATGAATATTTGGTTATGCCATTCGGGTTATACAACGCACCTTCGACCTTCCAAGCCATTATGAACACAATCTTCAGGCCTTACCTCCGCAGGTTCATCCTGGTTTTCTTTGATGATATTTTAATTTACAGTCCTAACTGGGAGTTACATTTGGAGCAAGTCCTGCAAATTTTGAACTCTTATAGAAAATCTGAGTTCAGTGGTTGAATCTTTAGTTTTTTTACTCGGCTGAGAAGTTGAAGAAGTAAGCAACCTAAAAATCCAATATCTTCTTCAATCACTCACTCTCTTCAGAGTTTTTCTTGAGCTATCCATAATCCCAAATGCACTCATCTCTCTTTTTTCATCTTTACAACCAGTAAATTCCTTCCCACCCATTGCTTTGCAGTGAACACAAATAAGGAATTAAGAGAAAGAAAACCATATTGGTCCATATTTTCGTTCGTTGTTCATCATATATAATTTCCCTTAAACTAATCCGTCCAAAATTTCAGTTTTGATTGTCAAATTTCCATTCAATTTAGGTTCCTAATAATCTTTGATGGATATGGGATTGTCAACGACTCTCTCTCGACCCACTTCCTTTAGTCGCATGAAATCTCGAATTCTATGCGATTCAGAAAGTTTCCAATAATAATTCCTGCAAAAAACCACGGATACTCGTTTCATGGAATATCGAGTTTTACAAATCCCAGCATTTTTAGAGGAATTTTGTGTTCAAGATTGCCTCAAAATAGAAAATTTAACAATGGAGCTTCCTGGAGATTACTAGGGGAAGTTATAGATGATGTGGGTGTTCAGCCAAATGAGGATGTGGGCAAGAAAGTGAAGTCTGTGGATGTTTTGTTAAAAACAGGAGCCGTTCTAGGGGCACTGATTTGTGGGCTTTTGGTGTTTGGATACAAGAGGGTATTTGCAGTGGAGAGTACAGTGAATGCAGAGTACGGGCTGATTTGGCAGAGTATTATGCTGCTAAGGAATGTGTGGCCAAAAGTTTCTTAGGTTCTCCAGGTTTTCAAGGAGCAAGGTTTGGTTTTGGTAGCACTTTTGGGGCTGTCTGCATTCTTTTCCATGGCTGAGACTTCCATTACGATATTATGGCCATGGAAGGTACACATTTGCTTATAGCTAACTGGAGGTGCTTTTTCTCTTAATCAGCTATGATATCATGGTTTCAAACAAAATATTGGAAAGTTATGTTAACTAGGAGGGTAATTTCTTCAGCTAAGGCTAGTGAATAATAGATTTAGAAAGTATTTCCATTTCATAATAGTGGCGAGGTCTTGGTGGTGTTTGATGTTGGGTGGTTTGATGCATTCTTTGTGATTGTGCTGAATGAGGCTCTCATAATTTCTATCATATGGTAATTTATTTGCTTTGCATGTTAGCTTCAAAATGAATAGTTGTTCCTGCATTTCCATTGTCTGATAATTCAGTGGATACTGATTTATTATCTACAAAAAGATCTTTGTCTTCAAGGTAATGAATCCCATAAGCATCTCCTCTTATGGTGCCTGGAGGGTAGAAAGCTACGAAATCCCAGCATCTCATTTATTGAGAGCGAGAAGAACATTATAGCATTTATTCCGAACTCAATATTTGGTTGCAGATCTTATGTTTTGTTTAATGGTTATCCTCTTCATAATGCGGATGATCTAGGGGAGCTTTTTATATGGGTGCACCAGTGTTGCCTTTGTTTATATATTTATATGTAATATTTATTTTCGAAAGAAAAAAGTTTTCCATGAAAGATGCTAGCTCTTCTTTGGAACTTTTTTTTTTATAAAAAAAATAAAATGTTGTTTACCCTAATAGAAATTTGCAATCTAATTGGTTGTCTGATATCAGGCACGTGAGTCGGCCGAAAAGGAGTCTGAAAATGGTGTGTTTCAAATGCTTTGCAGTGATGTTACTCGATTTCTGAATACTAGCAAATGTTCCCTGTTCACTTTAATTCTCTTGTACTAGCAAATCTAGTAATAGATATCTTAAAAAAGATTGCAGCTGTGTAATTTTTTTCAATATTCCAGATCCCTTGATTCTCATTCATAATGAATTTATTATAAATTTGTTGACATTTTTTTATTTCTTGTTGATTGAAGCTGGCTTTTGACAGCAGTATGGAGACGGAAAGACAACCTATGGCTTCAATAACCCATGCGACTATGCATTTCCTTTTTTAAAAAAAAATTATTCAGTTAAGTTGAATAAATATACATAATTATCTAATTATTTAAAAATTATGAAAATTAAAAATTATTTTTAATAAAATTTATTTTTTTATTTTATTTAAATTATAAAAATAATAATAATAAATATTACGTAATAATTAATTTTTAAATTTTTTTAATTTATAATCATAAATAAAAAATTAAGGTTTTAAAATAATTTTTTATA